CCTTCATCTCCTTTATATGGTATGGAAGTGACCCACACTTGGCACCTCGTACGTTAAGCTCAGGAATAAGGGGAAGTCATCGCCGCTTTTCTTTCGACGATCTCTCATTTTTGTTGCCTAACTCGATGTTTCTCGAGAATTAACCTCTTTATTTAGAACTACACAAAAACCTCCCTAAGGGAATCTGTATTACAGCAATGGAACGCCACCACAGATTTATCGTGACCGTCTTTCACTGCGGGAGTCATCCCGAAAGAACTTTCCTTTTTCTTTCCTTTCGAGGTCCTTGGACTTCGGTTTGCCACGTCGCAGTCGGTCGCGCAGCGCCCACAAAAAGCGAGGCAGGCGACGGCAAGGATGAGAACAAACTCGAGTCCACTAACACCATCGCAGTCCTCTCCCACACCAATTTCTGCTGCCGCGCACGAGTCGTGAAAGCTACACAAGAGTCGACTCGTTGTTGGCGAGATAAAGTACAGCACGAGCGTGTCGAAGGCGCAGGTAACGCAATTTTCACGAGCTCCACATGTTGCCTGAAGGGAAAAATATCACACAATATGCGGAGCTCATCCATCACGTTTTCACATTTTGTGAACGGTCCATTAATCATGCAGTAGCATTTTCACTACATTTTAGTGCCGTCCATTTCCAACAAAGCCATTTTAAGTATTTCATTATATTATTAAATCCTGAACAATGAGAATAGAAGCATAGTACCTTCTATTAAAATTCTAATTAATACAAAAACTTGAATGAAGTTAATTATATTCGTTTTAAACAGATTTTCTTAAAATATTGCAAAAGTTCCAAAACATAGGTTAGTATTTTTGTTTTGGACAAGTATTGTCAATTTAAGAACAATTTGAAGTCATGAAACTATATTGTTATTAAATGTTAGAACTCATCAACTGATGAATAACGTACATAACTTCGTATTCCCCATGAAACATACTTCAGTGAAGGTATTAAACAAATGTCTTGAAAATGGTTGAATTTCATGATGTATCCCATTTTGCCATAAATCTTCAAATAAGCTCAATCTAATAGTAATTACGAAAACTTTTAGATTATATCTGAAAATTGTCTTTCCAAAGAGCTTATGCTTTCTTAAAGCAATTACAATTAATAATTTCTTCCTAAACACAGAAACGATACAGAACTCTATATGCGACGTAGTTCTCAACGTAAGTCAGGACGTGCATGCGGAAAATTGCTGAAACAAAACACAAAGACCACACGCACGAAGCGACAGGGCAGTGAACCAGCACCGACGCTTCAAGAGCAGGATATGCAAAGCACCCGCAGCACTTGGCACGCGCTCGATGCGACCGGATAGGAATGCACCACGGAAAGGACTTTGGTACAGAGAGATAGCTGTAAGAAGGGGTCGTTTTAACAGCTACTGTTTGGCCACTGCTGGCAATATAATATCAGGTTATGCCCATGCACATGTGTGTTCGTTTGCAGTTCATTTGTAAATGTAAATGACTTCATCAGTACCTCTTACACTGCCATCCCCCTGCATAACATCCTTTGTTTCCTGCCACCCCTCTGCATGTGCCCGACTTGTGCTTTGTTTCCCGACCAGTGAAAGTGATTCCTTCTCAGAGTAATTCCTTTATAGGCAAGCGACTATGGTTCTGAAGACCATCCGATGAATAAAATAAGCCCGCTTTTACGTAGTGTAATCAGTTAATGGTTTCGACTCTCGGCTAATATTAGGCGCTAATGTTAAATGGACCAATTTTATATTTGTTGATTGACGTTTTTGAGCAGGTCAACTACTTTGGTCATCAGTCCCGTTAGTGTAGTGAATGTTTTATCGCGGGAAATGGAAGTTGTTCTCTCCCTCTGAATGGTGGGATGAGGCGCCGTCTCTTCAGCTGGTCGATGCTGCATAACTGTTTTTATACAATTAGAGACTATACTGATTATCAAAAAGAAAAATGTTTATTTTAACAAAACAGTGATATATATTGAATTAGTTTACAAATGTATTGTATTATTTTTAAAAAAAATAATATGTTTGTAACGTATTGTAATTTGTTTGCTTCCGAGTCAATGAACCCCATCTGATCAGGTTTTTGTCTAGTTTCCGATCCATTGAGCAAATGCTGATATGACCCCTCGCTTTGCTTTTGGACGTAAATGTAGCTTCACTATGCGCACGTTTTTTGAACTCTCCTTTGATGGAAGGAGTAGAGGTAAGGGCGCGTTACTAATTTGTTAGCAATGCAGAAACATCATACTTGCATTTTGTTTACCGATGCAAACGTATTCTGTAACTCTGAACAAAAATGTCTATTTTTTCAAATATTGCTAATCTTGCACTTTTTTTAAATTTATTTTTATTTATTTATTTTAATATTTTACTCATCTTTCAACTATGTATAGTTATAATGATGGGAAGGAATTCTGGAACTCAAGAAAACGTGCGCAGATCTTCTCCCCCATACGTCACATACAGATTTTACTGGGTTTTTTTCTCTAAATAAAATCTAAATGTAAAATGCCCGAACGACGAGCTCCTGGCAGTTACACCGAATATGGGGCATTACGAATATGTGCGCGCAGAAGTACCGGCGTGTGCTTGCGTTTACGGGCAGACTTAAAGCTCCCGGCAGATAAGGCAGGCCTTGCGCTAATGTAGCCTGCGTCGACGCAGAGACTTCTGTGGGAATAACAAGTATGAATGTCTTTGCTCGACCTTGCTCTCTGAGGTCAGTACTCTGAATTGTTAAACAACAGAATTGCTTTGACAGGAGCACTCAGGTTGTTATTGCGGTGCCAATTCATGACCTGTTCCTTACAAATTATATAATTTAGTCTTACCAGATATTTAGATTAATTTTACAAAAATTACAATGTAAAAATTAAAATTAAAAAACACTGAAAATACACTCTGAATTGAAATCAGGTAAATCGACACAAATCGAACGTAATCTTAACTCCAATGCAATGAAAGTGTTCCGTCAAAATATATTTTTTATATAAATTTACAGAGAAAAGACAACTCTTGGTTATTTCTAATCTACTTTGCCTTATTTCTACGAGTTCGTTTGGAGACACGAGTGAGAATGACTCGGCGGCTGCTGAGAAGTATTGTATCACCTCCTGATCATTCATTCTTGTAGCTCCACCTGCCGACTATTAGTCAGTTTCCGAGAAGTTTTCTTATGCTTATGCTTAGTGTTTAAGGAACAATCAAATGCGGCATTACACCCACAAAAAGTAGTCATAAAATAACATGCCTTTACCAAGCCTTTGTCTACAGCCCGCTTGTTATCAGGAGTCCGGAGGTGACAACAGTTCCAAGGATAAGGACCTGTTGTCACGTAAGTGTTTTGCATTTGCTAATAACCCGCAAACGGCGATGGCGTCATAGAGGTTTTTACGGTGCAACAAATAAAAATATCTCTTTGTAATCAAAATTACAAATTTCTCCTCGCATAACATTTCGAAACCTTTGCTTGTAATAATTAGTTCCTTTCCCTGGTGCCGTCATTCGCTTTGTGACTGAAGTACAGAGAAATTTGGGTGCACTGGTACTAATGTTGGAGCGTGTCCAATGAACACCATACGCCCCCACCTCGCTATCTGCCATGTCCGTACTCCAACACAGCCCTGCATCCGCAGGGAAACGTCACACGCAGTGAATGATTGACCGTCGGAAGGAACAATCGCGAACAGTGTTTCCCATCACATTCGTTTTTGAAGCGTGTGAATGCGCATCGTAATTGAGGAGTGCTCAACGTTGCCAAGCTAGTGTATTATAGACTTGCAATGAAATCCAGAAGTAATGTAAACGTTGAAATTCTATTAAAAACACAACAAACAATTGCTGTGTATTTTGTAAACAGTTGCTGTACAGGTAACTAAAAATTAGCAATAGGCACAATATTTATAAAAATATAAATTTGGTTTGTAAACTTCCGGAAAACAAAACAATTTAATTAGTCCACATGTTCTGTTTACACACGTTTTTTGAACGACCGTCACAGAAACACTTTTCAATATTAAAGAAAATATGCCAAGCAACTGTAAGTCATTGTAGAGTCTATGCGACTTAAAAGAATTTAGCAGTAAATATTTTATTACTGTAAAACAAATTAAATACTGTGGCTGAACTGTAATTGTTACAAACGACAACTGAGTAGAATATTGCACATTATATATTACAATAAACATCTAAACATAATTAATTTGCATTCATTTTAAAAACTCGAAACGTTTTTCGTCATTCTTAGCACCATGTTTCATTCAAGAGGGGAAAGATGTTCCATGTACATTATTGGCAAGTAGCGCGGTGTCCAGTTCCGAGGAAAAGCCAAGAAAGGGACGATTTTCTTGGGCGTTGACGGCGTCTGCGCGGGAGAATCGGCAACGACCTGCTCCGGCATCGATCGAGGGCCCGAAGCCAAGGCAGGGCCACCGGCCCCACACGGTGCACCGCCAACCAATTCCCTTCGCCCGCTTACTCTGAGTAAAACCGGCACCACGTTAACTAAAACCACAATCACAACTCAGCTTGCGATTCGAAATTCGGATTCAAACACTGCGTTGACGAATTCCATTTACGTGTTCGTGACAGTCACGTGTTACCTTGCTCCACGAAGAGTTCACGCCCCCCCCTTGATGTCACGGGCTAGTCGTTTGTCAAATGTTTGTTCGGCCGTGGCGATTGTTGGCCGGCAAGTGGTGCCACGCCCATTGACAATAGACGGGAGGGATCCGTTCTTTACGGACGCGTTTCGCATGGCACCGCCCGCACCCGAAATAGCACACAACACGCCGCGAGAGGCCACAACGCCGGCAATCGCGCACGCGAAACACGACCGCACCACCACCACCACAGCAACACGACTGGCTGAACCCGCGAAAAAGGGGGTGTGTCTCGTAGGGTCGGATATACGTCCGTGTTCCACCACCTCGACGACACCTGCACGCGTGGATCACTCGTGCGCCTGCGCAGTAACTGACGTGCGGCGGCGGCGGCTCACCTGACATCAAGCACGTCCATGGTCTTCGTGCTGTCCTGCTGCTCCTTCACCTTCTCGTAGAACTGTTTCCACATACTCTCCTCATCCATGGCGCCGGCGGGGTTATTTTCGGAATTGGAACCGCGACCGGAGTCAACACAAGAAACAAAACACACACACGCACGCGTAGCTCACAGCGCACGCGCGAGCGCGATACAGCGGCAGCGGCCGGAACGAGAACCGAACGCAAGACGAGAGGGAGCACGCGCGCTGCACTGCCGGCGTGCCACAAGGCGCAAAGCGCGGGCGGCGGGCGCGGCGACGCCGCCGCTGATTCACGAAGAGGGGAACGCCGACCGCCCACCAATCGCGGCGCGGCCTTCGAGTGACGCGGTCGGTGGAGAGCGCTCGGATGGGGTGACGGAGAGGGCGAGGGCGAGCGCCCTTATCGCAGATGCGGTTCCAAGCAGGAGGAACGCACTCGTGGTTCCAAGCCGGATGTGGAAACGTGAGCGTGCGATGGATGAAAGTACCTAGCCGTGCCGCAAACAAGGTGATGTGTCTGTCCAGACTGCCGCAAAAATTGTACGACAAGTTCTACAGTTTGAAAAGAACAACCGGGAGAGGTGGCTTAGGGCGTCAAGAGATGGCACTGCAGTGCCTGCGACCGAGAGGTCCTAGGTTCGAATACCTACGGTGGCACGATTTTCGACACTAACTTCTCAGCTAAGTCGAATTCAGTCGCTGTCTGGAAGAGAATTCTAGCGGCCGGCTACTCTGATCGGTAGTTTTCTGTGGTTTCTCCCATTAATATCAGATTAATGCTGGAGCAGTACTATAACAAACGTGTCACGGACCGCGCATGATGTTTCCTTCCCATTCCTTGTCCAATTCTCACCTCTTACTAACACGCCTTCTTTCACTACACTACCGCACATGTTGGGAGGCCAGTTGGGAGCTTAAAGCTTGTCCCAGCTGGGACGGTGCCGTTGTCGTGGGAGATACCTGGTTGGGAAAACCTAGCCGACGGTAGATCGGCGCCGGATACCACCAACCGGAAGGATCACCGACGGAAGATCACCGCCACCTCCCGAGGAAACGCATGCCCCACACTTACGGGACTAGTGACCGCAGACGACGCGCCCGGAATCACCAATCAATATAAAAGAACAAATTAAAAATGTGTCTATCTGGTACCAAGAGTTTTGGCAAATGCCGCTGACCATAGCAGTGATCACCATTGTTGTGAGATTCTAGGTTATATGTTTGAAATGCGGTTACATCAATGTTTTGAGCTACTCCTTTCGGTGTTGAAGTTAAAGCTTAACTATGAATTTACGTATTCAATTGCACCTATTACTACATTAGCAATTTAATATTTTTAATCACCAACATTATAGGTATGGAGTAATAATTGTATTAGTGATATTCACCATTCGGTACCCTTTGTTATTTTCATTTCGAGTACCTTAATCAAGCACTTCTTCTCTTTACGCACTGAAAAAAGCGGCATTAAAACTTGCCACAAATTATTAGAAAATGATTGTCAACGGCTCGAATCATTATTATCATCTAAGGAGACTGTTATAAATTTGAATGGCGAGTACTGTGTCATGAAGCAAAAACAGGAATTCGCTCCCCAAGTTTGACAAAAAGTCGCTAAAAGTTGGCGAGCTTCAATCGCGCAAGCGTTCTCGTCACTGAATGTGCAAACATTTCGCTCGTCTTCAAAAGACATTTCTTTGAAAAGTTCAGGGATTCTAGGAGAAAGTCGTAAAAATACTGTACGTGTCTGATAATTGTTCAAACTCAAGACATTTATTTTGTTTCCGCATTTCGATGAATGCATTTTCTTTTGCATGGAATGGTTTACCGTGGCATTAACCCTTCAATGCGCCGCTTAGCACATGTGACGATTGCTTTGATCGTCAGAACAGATACAGAGAAACCAAAGGACAATAAATCCTCTGGCGCCCTCATCTGGGTTAATTATTAAGTTCGACGTCTGTTGCAACTCCCCGTATCAAGTTCAGTAATCTGACACCAAAAATATTGGTATTGTGGTGAGTTTTCGTTGACATTTACAATTAAATAATTATATGAGTTGTCATTGCCAACAATATTATTTATTCCAAGAGCGTCATTCGATGGCTTAGCCTTCAACATAATTTTTCTGCCGAATGGAAGCTACAAAATGACTAGTCGTACGTACATGTAGTCGTTTTGAGGCTTCCATACAGCAGAAAACTGATGATGATGGCGGCGAAGTCATCGAAAGCATATCTTGTAATAAACAACATTTTTGTCAATGACAACTCTCATAATTATTTCATTCCTTACACCAAAATCTTCAAACAAGACAGCAAAACAAATCTCTGAATACTAGCATTATTATAAGGTACTTAATTGAATAATATTGATAAATATATCATACATTTTCTCAGTACATGAAATATATAATGTAAAATTACATGTCGTGGTTGTATAATTAAAGGGATAAATTCTCTTAAATCCTGAGAGAACATTGAAAATCATTCTCTCTCTCAATTCACACAATTTGAAAATTGTCATAAATGTTTCATATATTTTCAATTCCAGTGTTTTATGTACCATTGGTTTCGAATATTTGATACTTTATCTTGGGCATGAACTATCTCCTTTAACTTCTTTTAACCTTTGTCCGGTTCCTGAGATCAATACACGGCCTGTGTGTCAAGCACTGTTTTTAGTGCCAACGTCCACAATCAATTACCTTTTGTATCATTTTGGGGGTAAATATCCTATACGGTAGAACAACAAACTTTAAAACATTCTTGGTGAACATAGAGGACTGAACAATAGAAAAACAATGTTACTATAAATCGTTGCGAACATCGTGGGTGAAAAATTCTCCAGTATCGCAAGTTTATATTCTGTACGGTTTGTTTAAGTTCATACTTTAGTTTTACAAACGTTTTTACTATCTTATGTAAAAAATGGCTACTTCATTCTTGTCTTGACAACTTTACAGCTCTTTGACGACATTTATTTGGTAGGCCCTTTACAAGGACTGAATGAAAGGAAAGTACAGAAATAATTTCCACATCATGGTATAATTTTACAGTTTCTGTCTCTGAAGGTTTCGTTTGAAGTTACAGCACAGTTTTTTTTCTATTCTAACTTCAGTTCCCCCAAATTTATATTGAAATCCGTATCAATTTTCAAATGGCATTCTACAACTCAACTCTTAACAAAGCGCACAATTCTCCTAGTAAAATTAATACGTGATTAACACTTGAAACCGCTTGAAGACTAAAACCTTTCCAAGAACATCATCGATCATGCTACACAATTAGGAAAACACTCAACCGTTCCAGTACTGTAAACAATGTTTTGAAGGTTCTTACTGGAATTGAAAAATGACCTTTAAGTCCTGAGGACTCGCATCGTAAACAACGTTCCTGCTAACACTAGGCTAAATGAAAGTAGTTCCTTACTCCAGTGGCAAGGAGAGGGAGAGAGAGAGGGAGAGAGAGAGGGAGAAGCAGAGAGAGGGAGAGAGAGATATTCTAATCTTCAATTCTAATAATGTTTCATCCTGTTTATTCGCTCTTGTTCGACTAGAACTGCCCATGAATATGATGTTACATTATGGGAAAATATTAGCAGCGCTATCCGTCCCAGATGGAAACAAATTCCATTCAGCGTTATTACGTGACTTGTTCACGAGACTATCGACGTGATAATTCTAATTCAATATTGTTTTCCAAAACCTTGCATTCGTTTTGCTACAAATCACTCATGCACTGAGGCGCATGCGTTCTGTAGTGGATCTCTAGCGAACGCGCGATCAAAACTGGATTTGCATCATATACGATACAGCGCTCCACGCTGCGCGAAAAGTCTCTACCGCGGGACATCCTTACACCACATCTCCTCCAAACCCGTCTGCGAGCGCTCCACAACTCCCGTTCCTTTGGGCGCCGCTCGCCCGCCCGCCCGCCCCGCCCCCGCCCCCACGCCCCGCCCCCCACCCACGCCCCCGCCCAACCCTCGCCCCGCAGCCGTGTCGCGCCGCGCCGTCGAGCGTTACGGCTGTTTGCGTGGCGGGAGCCGAGGCGGCGTGAGGCGCGCCCGAGGAGAGGCTGGGAAGAGGAATGGGGCTTTGTGCGCCGGGAGTTGCCTCACAGACAACGCAGGGGAAGGGAATTGCGAAGTAATGTTAGGGAAGGTCGCGGCGCCTTTTGTTCTCGTGATCTACTCCTGTTTCAGTTCACGAAAGGTCTCGTTTTCTTCATCATATTTTGACAAGAAGCATTTTCATACAGATGTTGAACATTTGAAATGATTATATATCAATTTATTTATTACATTCAATTTTATAATCAAGACTGTTTTATTTTAATTAATCAATAACTGATATCATGCGGACCAAGACACTGAGAGGCATGTTAGAGAGAGTTCACAATATTGCTACACGTGAAAGTCGATAAAACGTTTGTATTTTTTTGAGTATTTTGATACCTAAAAAGTTGCCAAAAATGGTCAATAAAGGGTTCTTAAAATGTTTTTAAAATGACCTAAAAGCAAATGAAAACGACGTAAATAATTTGATCAATACCAGTTCACATGAACAACTCAAGCGTTAGATTATATTACTGATGTAATCAATGTTTCTTATTTTCGTCCAAGTGAATTCAGCTTCCCTTTGTTTGGGACAGTACTTTACCACAAAATCTCTGTTTTTTGTTATCTCAAAAACGGCCAAATCGACAGTGGCTCTGATAGTTGACTCGGGAACCTTAGAATCTTAAAACTCACAACGGCTAACATTACACGTCCTTAGCGAAGAAATGGAATAGACCGCTCAGTAATTCTGTGGAGAACATTTATTACCACTCGTAAACATTATTTGAACCAAGTACTATTAAAATGATATTAAAATTGATTAAATGAGCTAAAACTGCTTTAAAATTTACGCGGAAATGTAAAAAATGACACGGTAAGGTAAAAATAACCAGAATCGACGAATAATGTTAAAAAAGTCATAGAAAAAATGGCTCATTTCCTTTCGTTATAACGTAAAATGAACCATTGTTCTAAAGTGACATTTCATCAAAATCCGTCCCAGTTATGACAAACTTTATTGTAAAACAATTGTTTTGGACTAAACACTTGTTCAACGTTATGAAGTAATATTTTTAGGAATGGCTTTTGTGAATGTTGAAGACAAACTGATCTCAAAGGTTTCCCTGATAGTCTATTTGTCGTTCGGAGTTGTTTGTAACATACAAATCAAACTTATGAATGCCACGAGTTCACCTTCCT